CACTAGGGTGTAAGTGTATCATATTGGCTTCCACCAGATTCCAAGAAGGTCACAGTGACTTTCATAAAAAGTTGTCTTCCTTTGAATTAGACAAAAAAAAAAAGATTTGGTTCTACACCTGAGATGCTACAAAGAAAAGAATATGCCTTTTTTTTCTTGTTGTTTTTACAATAACTGCTGATCAGAACAAATTATTTCTTCTTTTTTTTTCGCTCTTATCAAATAGTGGCAAAGGTAAAGCAGTTGACAGTTAACTTATCTTCCATTTATCCCTAGCGCTGTGGCGGTATTAAGAAGAAGTTCTTGGCTGAGATGTCCCAAATTTGGGAATGTTACCTGCCCCATGCTAATCACTACGGTTTAGAGCTGGAAACAGTATTTGATCCGCTGCCAACACTACATTTACCAAAGGTATGTAGGCATAGTCTGAGTGTACACTGCATTGTAATAGTGTGTTAATTAGTGAAGATTTCATACTTTATTATTCACAGAGATTTAACTTTGCTGTTTTTCACTGCTAAGTAATATCTGCTAAAAATTAAATTTAATGAACATGTTGAATTACTTAACTTAAAGCGGGGGAGTCATCACCTGCGCATGCGTCAGATGGCCATAAAGTGTCATTGTTTACAAACATGTGTCCACCCATGAGCCTTTGCGTTTTCAGCGTGTGTTGTTATCGTCGCATGGGACTCAATTCCAGCGCATGCTCAGGTGACGACCCTCCCACTTTAAAATCCAGTGACTATACTCAAAATATCAAAATAGTGAAAATAAATAGTTTTACAGTATTGTATTTTGTTAAAATATTATTGATTTGTGTGCAATAATCCAGGGCTACTTTACAAATACCAGCAAATCGGAATATATCTTCATAGTGCTTGTAGCACCTATAAAGACTTGGATGTTTGTGTGGAAATTAATTTTGCTCAAAGCAACCTTCCGCAAAAATAAGATCCACACAAAAATAAAATATTTCAAGTTTTAATATGTGTTCTTATATGTGTATATTTTTCAAATGTTGGTTCAATTTTACTTAAAATTGTCTTATCTTTGGTTACGATAACTCAACAATTTTTGAAAATCTTCTCAATACCATAAACTGTCAACCAAGTTCAATTTCGATGTGACTAGCAAGTGCAATTTTCAAGACAAATTATGGATTAAAATTGTGTTAAACATTGAAATAAATTAAGACAATAATACTGCCGATAATGAGAACCAGATGTTAGTAATATGCTCTTCCAAAGTGTAGAATCTCTCAACAAATCAAGAAAAGTTAGATAAAAATTATGTTGATAAACTATTTGTTATCTGTTGTAGGGATGTGCGTCATTATATTTGAAAGCATCTCACATGTTACAATGTTGTCAGCGTTATCCCGGTGTCATTGCTTGCTGCCTTATTCACAATAACAGGTGAGAACTGTTACACCATTGTCATATGTACCAGTACATCTTGTAAAAATTTATTAAGAAAGATCAATGTTGCAAAAGCTCATTGTTGCACATGATTGCGTTAAAAATGTAACTCAGTGAAAAATTATACTTAGATTCAAAGAAACTAGAGAATACAGGGACAGGTAACTAGGATAAACATCAATAACTAAACTTATATGTGCAACATCTATTGGTGCCTCACATTCTATTTCATAAGCATCTTGGTACATGCAACAAGTCCACAGCTGCCATATCCCACATTGCAATGCCTTTCTGTCTTCTGCAGGTGGTAGTGCATGTAACAATTGTGTGATCTCACCCATGTGTTATTATAGCGCCCTCATGTGGTAGTATAGCGTCCTTATCAGTGGCTCATCCAGAATTTTTATGAAATGAAGACCTCCCTTAAATTATGCTTGCAATTTTCTTTTAAATGGTGCCACTGATCGTTTCTCATTCCAAAACTCGTTTTCATTTATGATTTTCATTCAAATTATGCATGTCTGATGCATTCCTAGTTCATAATAGTCAATAATTTTTTTGAAAACATATTTTTCTCAAGAGTATTCAGTATTTCAGAACCCCACCCTGCTTAGTTGCATTGCTGGGAAATTCACATATTTTTTCCAGGTTATAGATCAGACAATAAAAGACGTTCATGACAGACTTCAGGTTCAGAAAAATTGCGAAATAGGCCACAAATTTTGTATATACCGGTTTGTTGCAAATACTAAGTGGATTTGAGATTCTTTAAAATTACTTCACCGGAGAAAATGTTGACAAATAGTGGCGAGTCCCCAAAAACAGCATTATCTATCAAATTGCATTTATTTTCTTTCAGTGTCCTCTGTACACAGCTGCCTTCAACTCTAGTATCCAGACTTATAATCCTAAAACCAAACCAAAGCAATGTAAGTCAGCATAGTTTTAAACTTGTTTTAATGTTTATTTTGAGCTAGTAAATATTTGCAAGAATGATGTATGATTTAATACAAGTAATTTATCAGAATTTCTCGTCTCTAGTAATATTTCTGTTTTCTCATATCTGTTTATAGCATCCCTCAAAGTCACAAGAAACAGGTAAGTTATTATTTAATGGGAAAATGGTTTTAATGAGATGTGTCAGAAACTGAATATGCAAATGACATGTGCCTGCAGATTAAATATGTTAATGAGTTATCCAAGGTACTTACTAAATATGCTAATGAGGAGTACCTACACACTAAATATGGTAGTGAGCTATGCATGTAAACTGAATATGCTAATGATGTGTACCTGCACACTAATTATGCTAATAAATATGTCTGTATACTAAATATGCTAATGAGGTGTACCTACACACTAATTATGCTAATGACTATGTGTTTATACTAACTATGCTAATGAGGTGTACCTACACACTAATTATGCTAATGACTTTGTCTTTATACTAAATATGCTAATGAGGTGTACCTACACACTAATTATGCTAATGACTTTGTCTTTATACTAAATATGCTAATGAGGTGTACCTACACACTAATTATGCTAATAAATATGTTTGCATACTAAATATGCTAATGAGGTGTACCTACAAACTAATTATGCTAATACTATGTCTGTATATCAATCATAGACCATCTGACCATCTCTTTTTTATTACAGACTTCAGACTGCCATTTGGAGTAAGGATACTATCGGTTTACCTCACTGAAAGTGAATATGCACAGTTCAATCGCCAAAAACAGGATGTGAAGGGAATACGTGTTTGCATGGATACGCCAGATGTCTCAAAATTCAGGCCTGAAATTCAAATCCACTCTGATAAACGAGGCTTTGAGGATTCTTCTCGTGCATCTTTCAACTTATCAGAAAGTAGCGATATTTCGATGCCTTCTGACTTTGAGTCAGACATGTCTGTTAAATATTTAAGATTTTCTACAACAGACAGTGAAACTCCTTCAAGACAAAGCATTGAGTCAAGCATGTCTAATGAGTCCCCATTACCAGTAGATGTGGATCTCCGACCACGTAAAAAAAACAACAAACTAAGCTGTCAGTGTTCAAACAGAGATAGGACTGCTGCCGACGGCAACAACAGATGCCATTGTAGAAAAAAAGGATTGAAAATGGATTTCTCATCAGAAAATTTAACACATTTAATCAAGACTATTTCGGGAAGTTGGGTACAGGATTTTGCGAAGACCGAGGGAGGGGATGATTATACAAAGTGCAATGGGGATATTTCGGTTGCAGATGGGTGGAAAGTAGGTGATGAAAAGCTACACCAAGGCGCCAGCAACATTGGTCGAATTAACGAGTCGCCAAATGAGAATACGTTTACTCCTCAAAGAAAGGATTCTTGGGACAATATTGAACCTAAGGAAATGTCAAAGTTGAAACTGAATGGAATGACTGCCTCAACGCCCAAAGGTAAACAAAGCAATGCAAATAATGGCGTCCTGCTGTCCAATCAGGTTGGATGTAACGACAAGAATGAGAACGCTGTGAATAATATGAAAATTGAGACTCTTAGTGAGGATACTCCAATTACAAATGTTAGTGACAAGGAAAATAAAAGTGCACTAGACCTCAAACAGGAAAATATGTTGAATTATGCAAAAAAGGATCATATAGCGAATGGAGTTGATGTTATTACGAATTGTAATGAGCATAGTGACGTCAGTGTAAACACTGCCAGTGACTCAAAAGGAGGGATAAAAACCCCAAACGGTTGTGTAATATTGCTGAATGATGTTAATATCGATACTGTTTCGAAACTTGTTGACACTCCCGTACCCCCCATCCATGTGAATACTCACCTTGAGACAAAAGTGGAATCATTTGTCCATACGGATAAAGGTAAAACAATGGAGCACAAGTCAATACAAGATGAAATAACTAGTGTCGATAGATCTCAACATCTGAGGAGGGAAAATGAGAACAGCAGTTCAGAAACAGTTCAAAATGAAGACGAACTGTCGTCAGGGGTGGCTGAAATTAATATCACGGAGAACACTGATGATGGTAATTTACAGTCAAAAGAAAGTGCTGAAAAGAATAAGGTAAGTTTTTTGGAGCATTAGAACTTGGACTTAAGGTTACAGATACTGTGGTACCCATCTTAAAGTTATATCTCCACTTTGCATTACATCCTGTGAACGTCATGAAAAATGATTAAATCAGTTGCCATGGCAACAAATCCTGAAATATTGGATCTCTGAAGCTCGTCTGCACTTCACAAAAGTAATAACCAAATTAAACATAATTTTTATTGTTGTAATAACAGTAAATTATTCAGGGTCACTTTATATTATTTTCTTAAGAACTATAAAACATTTTTGATGCTTACAGGGGTCAGTAAGAGTTTTTCTGCAGATCTTGTAAAGTGAGATACAACTTTAACAAGAAATTCCTCTGTTAAACTGTACAGCTTTAAACCTCTATATACTGAACACTTATGCAAAAAAAAATACCTGGTTGTGGGACAACCACTTTCAATATTTGTGTGGCTTCAGTTTTCTAATAATTTTCATGGATTTTTAACCAAATTACATGTACTATTATATTTGCATTTATCTGGAGGTGTGTGTCAAAGTTTAAAACTGATCTTTTTTTCAGCGAAATGATTA